CAGAGAAACCCGGAGGAGGTCCTTGCCCCAACGGCCTGGTCGTCATCCAAGCGTCATCGAATGTCGACTGCAAGTTGGTTCTGGGAATTCCGTCCGCCATAGCTGAGCTTCAAACACAACTTTTCGAACAAAATCCCCACAGACGGCGCCAATAATGTAGGCGTGAGCGTCCTGACCCGGTTTGGAACAGATCGCTTCTCGTCCTTACCGTTAGAACGCCGAAAACCTGCAAATAACTCTTGCACCGGGGGTTTTTCCGGTGAAGAGTCTCTGATGATTGAGTAAGTATGTGTATGAGTATACTTGAGTTGAATAATGGAAAATCGTGTTAAGGAAGAAAGACTCACCTCTCTTTATATATGGGTGAGATACGTGACCTAAGAGCTGCCCGAACTTGATGAACTGGCTGCCCCAGCTGCCCGTCCATACTCTGACACACCGCTCGCATGTCAGAGGTGGCCTTAGGAGTTGTCAGAGGTGGTTGTCGCTGTCAACCAATGCATTCTCGCCACATGTCCTCTGCACATGAGATGATTATCCCTGTGAATATTCATCTGAAATTCGATTAGAGACTCTTACACGCGCTTGTGACTAGGTCAATCTCCAGAATACTGCCAACCTATAAAGTGACCGATCTATTGAGGTCGACTCGACTGCTCGACTGCTCGACTTCTTGACTGGTCGACTGTTTGACTGGTCTATCTTTCCGCTACTTGGCTCGGCTTCCTCACGGTACAACCTCTTCGACTGGTACGGCAGACCGGTTTAGCCTTGTGGGTATAATATCCTATATCATATCGGTCAGATCATTAAATCATTAATTGAAAATGTGAGGTGGTGTCATAGTAGTCTTTGTAGTATAAAACATGCCCAATACCTTATAATACAAAATGTTATTTCTCGAGGTGAGCAAAACCGAGATGAAATTAAAAAAACTGAGTCAAACTGATGTATTCGGTGCAACACAGTTCAATTTTTTAAGATTGCGGTTTATGGTGTGGTTAACCTTCTCTTCGGGACCATTTGGACCGACCTTCTCACCTTGACCATCTCTGTATTCCTTTGACGTCTTCTTCTTCGCTCGATACCAATTCATTCTGTGTTACAAGCGATAGGGGTTTCTTTCCCCTCGCGGTGTTATTGTTGCACTGAGACCGATGATTTCCAGATTGAGACTTTTTCTCATTTATTTTTAGAGAGTGAGTTTTCCAAGAGAGTATGGGAGCACTTCGCCACTTATACTCATATAACCCTACCCACCACAGACAATTTGTTTGTACTCCTGATTTTTTTTCTCACAGCGCACAAAATTTAGACACATGGGCTTCCTCATTCATTGTCTGATCATGTGGTTCATTGGACAAAGAGGAATAGTGGGAAGCATAGTTATATTACTTTTATATTCTATCACATTGTTTTGCAGGATGGTCGACATCTTTCCCTCCTCACAGCTCTGGGCAGACTCACGCCTACAGACTGGACAAGTTGCACACCACCTCACCGTTTCATGCCTTCTCTGAAACTGCCTGTCTAGCACCCACGACCCAGAGTCGTTGTTTGGTTGAGACCCATCCCTTTGGGTTAAGCTGAACACTGAAGAATCTTTCAACCGACTCATTAGAGCCGCCGTAAGCGGGGGCCTGATTAGGGATCACAGCGGAGCCCTCATTACCGCCTTCCATGCTGTTCTTCAGGCCTCCTCAAGCTTTGATGTGAAGATACAGACGCTTCGGATCGGTCTTTAGATTGCAGTGTCAATCTCTTCTCACATTAGGATTTAGTTGGATGTTGTCGTTGTTGCCACCCTATTGACCTCGGGCCATCAGGGCTCGTGGCATATTCAGCACCCACTCGCGCATCAGATCCACACTTCGGTCGGGTTGTTACCAAATCTCGCACATCTTCTGTGAAGAGAATCGACCCATTGACTTCCTCGCTTCCATCGGTGCCTCCACTCCTCAGAGGCGCATTATTCACTCGAACGATGCTCCTCTCCCCCTCTTTGCTTTTGTGCGGATGGATCAGATTGGCTATTCATCGTTCGAATTTGGGTAATCGTTCTCTACTCTTTACGCTTTAGCCCACTCGTGGTGCAGAATGCTTGCCTGGGCACCTGTCAGCCCAGGCTCAGACTTTTCGCTATGGTTGTTGTTTTTTCTTTCTTTTGTTTTTGTTTTTGTTTTGTTTGTTATTTAGTTTGTATAGACTTGTGATTTATCAGCCCATTTAGAATCTTGACTATATATAGGTTGAGGATACAACCTTAATTCCCCACTCTTCTGGGGTGTTTCTTTTTAAAAAATAAAATTTACGCAAAAAAATTGATGCGGTTTTGTTTTACGGTCAAAGGGTGCGGTTTTAACTGAACCGCACCGAATAAAGTTTATGTTATGTTATATATAATATATATATATGTAATAATATATTACACAAAACCTATATATATTATAGGTACATATAATATACTAAACATACTTTGGTTTGGTTATTTTTCTTTTTTCTCTTTGTTTTTTTTTTCTATTCTTAT